TTTTTTTTAATTTATTAATTCCTTTTTTTCCTTCAAAATGACAAAATGAAGGAATTCACCCCAAAAGGAAGAACAGAAAGAAATGACAGCCAGAGACTAAATCAACACAGATACAAGCAAGATGTCTGAACCAGAATTTAGAATCATGATAATAAGAATACTAGCTGGTGTTGAAAATAGCATAGAATCCCATTCTGTGGAGTTAAAACAAGTCAAAATCAGGATGAAATAAAAAATGCTATAACTGAGCTGCATTTTTAAATGGATGCCATGGTGGCAAGGATGGAGGAAGTAGAGGAGCAAGTCAGTGATACAGAGGACAAACTTATAGAGAATAATGAAACAGAAAAAAGGAGGGAGACTAAGGCAAAATAGCATGATATAAGAATTAGAGAACTCAGTGACTCATTAAAAAGGAATAACGTCAAAATCACAGGGGTTCCAGAAGATGAAGAGAGAGAGAGAAAGGGGTAAAAGGGTTATGTCAGCACATGATAGCAGAAAATTTTCCTAACCTGGGGAAACACAAGACATCAAAATCCAGGAAGCACAGAGAATTCCCATTAGATCCAACAAAAACTGACCATCAACAAGGCATATCATAGTCAAATTCACAAAATACTCAGGCAAGGAAAGAATAATGAAAGCAGCAAGGGAAACAAAGTCCTTAACCTACAAGGAAGACAGATCAGGTTCAGAGCAGACCTATCCACAGAACCTTAGCAGGCAGAAAGGAGTGGCAGGATATATTCAATGTGCTGATTCGGAAAAAATATGCAGCCAAGAATTCTTTACCCAGTAAGGCTGTCATTCAGAATAGTAGGAGAGATTAAAAGCTTCCCAGACCAAAACCAAAGGAGTTCATGACCACTAAACCAGCCCTGCAAGAAATTTTAAGGGGGACTCTCTGAGGGGAGAAGAGATGAAACAAAACAAAACAAAACAAAAAAAACCAAAAGCCCAAAAGCAACAAAAACTAGAAAGACCAGAGAACACCACTAGAAACTCCCAACTCTACAGACAACGTAACGGTAATGAATTCATATCTTTTAGTCCCCACTCTAAACGTCAATGGACTAAATGCTCCAATCAAAAGACACAGGGTAACAGAATGGATAAGAAAACAAGATCCATCTATATGCTGTTTACAAAAGACCCACTTTAGACCTAAAGATACCTTCAGATTGAAAGTAAGGGGATGGAGAACCACCTATCATGCTAATGGTCATCAAAAGAAAGCTGGAGTAGCCATACTTATATCAGACAATCTACATTTTAAAATAAAGACTGTAACAGAGAGATGAAGAAAGGCATTATATCACAATTAAGGGGTCTATCCACCAAGAAGGTCTAACAATTGTAAACATTTATGCTCCAAACATGAAAGCACCCAAATATATAAACAAATTAATTACAAACATAAAGAAACTCATTGATAGTAATACCATAATAGTAGGGAACTTTAACACCTTACTTACAGCAATGGACAGATCATCTAAACAGAAAATCAATAAGGAAACAATGGCTTTGAATGACATACTGCACTGAATGGACTTTACAGACGTATTCAGAACATTTCGTCCTAAAGCAGCAGAATACACATCTTCTCGAGTTCACATGGAACATTCTCCAGAATAGATGACATACTGGGTCACAAATCAGCTCTCAACAAATACAAAAATTTCAAGATCATACCGTGCTTATTTTCAGACCACAACACTACAAAACTCAAAATCGACCACAAGAAAAAATTTGGAAAGATAACAAATACTTGGACACTAAAGAACATCCTACTAAAGAATGAAGGGCTAACCAAGAAGTTAAAGAGGAAATTAAAAAGTACATGGAAGCCAATGAAAATGATAACACCACAGCCTAAAAACTCTGGGACGCAGCAAAGGCGGTCATAAGAGGAAAGTATATAGCAATCCATGCTTTCTAAAGAAGAAAGAAAGGTCTCAGATACACAACCTAAACTTACACCTTAAGGAGGTATAAGAACAGCAAATAAAACCCAAAACCAGCAGTGGACAGGAAATAATAAAGATTACAGCAGAAATCAATGCTATTCAAACAAACAAAAAATCCAGTACAACAGATCAATGAAACCAGGAACTAGTTCTTTGAAAGAATTAACAAAATTGATAAACCCCTAGTCAGTCTGATCAAAAGAAAAAAGAAAGGACCCAAATAAATAAAATCAAGAATGAAAGAAGAGAGATCATAACCAACACAGCAGAAATACAAACAATATTAAGAGAATATTATGAGCAATTATATGCCAATATTTTGGGTAATCTGGAAGAAATGGACAAATTCCTGGAAACAAATTCCTGGAAACATATAAACTCCCAAAACTGAACCAGGAAGAAATAGAAAATTTGAACAGACCCATAACCAGTAAAGAAGTCAAATTAGTAATAAAAAATCTCCCAGAAAACAAGAGTCCAGGGCCAGATGGCTTTCCAGGGGAATTCTACCAAACATTTAAAGGAGAGTTGGCATCTATTCTCTTGAAGCTGTTCCAAAAAGAAATGGAAGGAAAATTTCCAAACGCTTTCTAGGAAGCCAGCATTACCTTGATTCCAAAACAAGACAAAGACCCCACTAAAAAAGAGAACTATAGACCAATTTCCCTGATGAACATGGATGCAAAAATCCTCAACAAGATAGTAGCCAACAGGATCCAACAATACATTAAAAGAATTATTCACGATTAATGGGTTTATACCTGGGATGCAGGGCTGGTTCAATATCCATAAAACAATCAATTTGATACATCACATCAATAGAAGAAAGGACAAGAACCACATGATCCTCTCAATAGATGCAGAGAAAGCATTTGAGAAAATACAGCACCCTTTCTTGATAAAAATCCTCAAGAAAGTAGGGATAGAAGGATCATACCTCAAGATTATAAAAGCCATATATGAAAGACCCACCTCTAATATCATCCTCAATGGGGAAAAACTGAGAGCTTTCCCCCTAAGGTCAGGAACATGACAGGGATGTCCACTATCACCACTGTTATTCAACGTAGTACTTGAAGTCTTAGCCTCGGCAATCAGACAACACAAAGGAATAAAAGGTATCCAAATCAGCCAGGAGGAAGTCAAACTTTTCACTCTTCACAGATGACATGATACTCTATATGGAAAACCCAAAAGATTCCACCAAAACCCTGCTAGATTGATCCATGAATTCAGGAAAGTTGCAGGATATAAAATCAATACACAGAAATCGGTTGCATTCCTACACACCAACAATGAAGCAACAGAAAGAGAAATCAAGGAATCGATCCCATTTACAATTGCACCAAAAACCATAAAATACCTAGGAATAAACTTAACCAAAGAGATGAAAAATTTATACTAAAAACTATAGAAAGTTTATGAAAGAAACTGAAGACACAAAAGAATGTAAAAATATTCCACGCTCCTGGATAAGAAGAACAAACATTGTTAAAATGTTGATACTACCAAAAGCAATCTACATATTCAACATGATCCCTATGAAAGTAATACGAACATTCTTCACAGAGCTAAAACAAACAATCCTGAAATTTGTATGGAACCAGAAAACACCCCGAATAGCCAAAGAAATCTTGAAAAAGAAAACCAAAGCAGGAGGCATCACAATCCCGGACTTCAAGTGATGTTACAAAGCTGTAATCATCATGACAGTACGGTACTGGCACAAAAACAGACACACAGATCAATGGAACAGAATCCAGAATCTAGAAATAGAACCACAAATGAACACTGAATCTTTCTCCTTGAACTTGTATTTCCATTCCACTTCATTCAGAGAATTTATCCTAATATAACATAGTGTGATGGCCTAAAGTGTTTTAATGATCATTCTATATTACTTTACAACAGGAAAAATCCTCAAATACTCAGATGCTATAATTCTTTTCTTTAAAAAAAAAATTAATGTTTATTTTTTTGAAGGAGAGAGAGACAGAGTGTGAGGCAGGGAGGGGCAGACACAGATTCTGAAATGGGCTCCAGGCTCTGAGCTGTCAGCACAGAGCCCAACATGGGGCTTGAACTCACAAACCGCAAAATTGTGACCTGAGCCAAAGTTGGACACTTAACCAACTAAGCCACCCAGGCACCTCTAATACCTTTCTCTTTTAATAGCTGTTAATAGTACCCAAGAATCAGGAAAACAACAACAACAAATAAACAAAAAATAAGAAATGAACTCAGTGTTCATCCCCAAAGGGAATAAGTAAACCGTTGAAGATGATACAACTGATAATAGAGCAAAGTTAAAACTTAACACTTGGATTCTCTTACTTTCAACCCACTGCACTTTTCACTAGACCACCCTGACTCTACACTAAACAATAATGAAACATGAAACTGTTAATGAGAGAGCTTAGGAGCTCAAGCTCTTGAAGAATGAGGGTAAAAACACAAATGTACATTGGCCTTCAGTTTTCCTACCTTAATTTCTTTAACTTCATTTGAAAGAGTTTGAGGTGTACTTGGAAGAGAACGATTTGAAGCATTTCTTTTTGATTTCTGAGGTATTGTTATATGAAATCTTGGAGTTGCAAGCACGATTTTACATGTATCATTCATGGAACCCAGAAGATCGGTCTCTCTGGGCACTGAGTTCTCATTTCCTTCCTTAATTTCCTGTTGTGAAGTCCTTTTTGTTGCCACTTTACTATCAGAAACCATTAACTGATCATCATTTTTAACAGGAACACAGTTAGTATTTAGAGTCTCAACAGTAGTATTTTGGGATTTTTCAATGATAGAATCAACACCTTCTAAAACAAAGGTGTCCTTTTTAGACTTAGTGGTTACAAATGTATTCTCCTTTGAGTGAAGAATTTGTTTATCCAACTGAGTTCTAGGTAATGTCTTGTTTGAGAATCCTGCAGCTGAAACATTTTCATGTTCTTGGTTCAGAAATGGAATCTCTGCAAAAAAAATACAAAGCCAAACAAAATTTAGAGAAGAATCAAATGAAATTAAAAGAGAGAAACAGAATAATATAAAACCGTTTATATACGAAAGAAGTCTTCAGGTTAGGAATGCTCCACCCTTCTGCCCAGTGTTTCTCTGAAATGGATTGCCTACGCCGGAGAATAATTATCCAGAACATTTAACTATACATTGAACAAAACAAAAAGCACTTTACCATAAGTTAAATTATGCAGAGGTGCTTTCTTTTCCTGCTGACATTGAATCTTTTGCTTTATCGGAACGAAAGTACTATTTGATGATTCTAGAGGAACTTCTTGCACTGAGGTTGAGTTTTTTTTTTTTTAAAGAAAGAGGAAATTGAATTATATTAGTCATTGAGAAGAAAAAAAAGCCTTCTTAAAGTCTTAAAGAGTTACATTCAATAATGATCAGATCAATACAGTACACTTCTGTAACATAGGAGTTCCATTTCTCATTTTATTTTTTCATGCCTTCATCCCATTCTATCTACATTACACCAAGAAAGAACTTTTTCTAAACTCTACATGTTATAACTTGCCAGCTCTAGACAAAAGTATATTACTGGACTTAGAAGCTTAGAGATCTGGAATACAATTCTGGTGCTGCAACAAATCAGATAGGTATATCTTAAGATTATATATGAAGTACCATCCAGTCTTGAAAATTCTGATTCTGCTTCTGGTTGCTGTAAATTTCTAAAATGCTGAAAGAACAGCCGAAGAGTTGTGGCTTATATGTTAAAAGTTGAAATGTTGTGACTCAATAGCAGACACAACCATAATTTATACCCCTCTGACATCTCTTTAGTAAGCCTTCAAAGGCAAAAATCTGGTAGGCTTATCAACTAGACAAGTAGGGACTAATAATATTGCTTACATTTTATTCTACTTTGCATCCTAGATGGTTTAAGTTTTATTTCTTGATGGTTGAGTTTCTTTTACATAAAGAGGGGAAGGTAATAGACTTAAAACTGGAGGAAAAAATCAATTATTTTATTTTATATGTTTAATTTCAAATATTATGATTGAAAAAAATTGGTGGTGACTTTGCTTAAGTATGTAGCTTTAGTCTTAGAAATCTTAATACGAAGATTTTTATCATAATGATGTGTGTCATAAAAGGATAAGTTTCTATTTCTTTAGCTCATTCTATTAGAAATGGCAAGGCAATGTAGTAAAGACAAACAGGTAATTCAATCAGATATAACATGCTATAGAATCTGGGTCATTTATTTTAGAGTACAAAGTCCATGTAGACTATCTAAAAAGTCTCTGAAATTACATACGAAATTTGTGTTTGTATATATGTGCATTTTCTGGGGAAAGAGTCATCAGATTCTCAAAGCAGTGAGTTGTTTCTTCCTCTCTAGTTCCACTTGACAAATAAAATATGTTTTAATGTGCATTATTTCATTTGCTACTCCCTTTTCTCCAAGACTGTATGAATCAGATTTTGTGTATTCCCCTACCTCTATCTTAAGCTCCCTTAGAAAACTCTTTTTGTGTTAAAATATAACACTGTCTTTGAAATACAACAGTATATCCACAATCTATTGTGCAGTGAAGAGCATGGGCTTTCAAATAGACACCTGTATTAATTCTTAGCCCATCGCTTATCATATGTCATACATAGAGCAGACATAACCTTTTTGTAAGCCCCATTTCCTAGACTATTAAATGAGCATCTACCCACAGTGTCTGCTGAAAGGATTATATGAGATAAATCCATATAAAACATATTTATCAATTACTGTAACTCATTAAAAATCTCAACTTCAAATGTCTCAGATTCTGACCACTTCCTATCTTTCCAGATTATTCTCTCAAATCCAAGACTATCCTAACAACACCCTACACTTCTTTATACTTCCTCATTTCCTTCAGGTCCTCTTTTCTCTATATAACTAACTTAAATTTCATGGTGCCCTTACATACCACCTTTGTCCTCTTCATCCTATCTGATAAAATTACAATCCTGATAAAATCCAACTCTCTGCCTGCTCCTGAGCAGCATCTGTGCAGCTAAATAGGGCTGGAGGAAAACTCATAACCGTATTTATTGCTCTCATTTAAATTCATGCTCACAAGTTTCAAGCAGGTCCTTAATGTTACCCAAGAAATCAAATTTAGGCCTAGACTCTTCCATTCTCCTGCATTATTCAAACCTCCACCTCCTCAAACTTTAATACCTGCTTCCCATGCTTACTCTCAGCTGATGACTTTACTGTGTACTTCAGATTATTTCTCCATACAACACTGCCTATCTTCTTGTTTGATTTATGGTCTGTTTATGTTTCTTGCTAAGGCCAAAATCTCCACTTTTAGATTCAGTTCCCTTTCAACTACTCAAGGGTATCATACTACCAATTTTAGTTTTTCCTTCCCTACTGGATCATTTCCAATAGCATACAAAAATGTTCTTTCATCATACATTAAAAACAATATTTTAAAACCACACTGCCCATGTTTCTCTGCTCTCTTCTAAGAGTTATCTATATTCACCACTGTCAATTTCTCTCCCTCACATTCTCTCTTGAACCCTCTTGAATCATGTTTTTGCTCCTATCACTTCACCAAACTCCCCTTATTAAAGCCACCAATGACCCTCATGTTGCTAAATCCAGCATTCAAATCTCAGCCTTTATCTTACTTCACTCATTAGCAGCATTAGATACAGCCAAAGACTCCTTCCTTCAAGCATTTTGTTCCTTTGGCTTCCAAAGTATCACTCTTGGTTTTTCTTCTTCCTCATCTTCTTCTCGTGGTCTTCACTACTATCTTTTATTTGAAATTCCAAATTTTGGGGTGGTCCAGGATTCATCACTGAATGTTTCTCTTTTTACACTTACTCCTTGATGATCTCCTTTAATCTCTTTAAATACCATTTAGGTGCTAATAATTCCCAAGTGTATTTTTCTCACCTGAACCACCTCTCTAACTTCCAACGAATTTTTTCAAAAGTGTTAATTCACATCTACACTTCAATTTTTAATAGATATAGCAAAATTAACATACCAAAAATATAATTACAGAGCCCCCTGCCCTGTCTATTCCATTTCAGTTAAACCACTCTATCCTTCCAGTTACTCGGGCAAAAAACAAACAAACAAACAAACAAAAAACCAAAAAACAACCCAGAACCAACCAAACAACAAGAAAACACCCTACAGCCACCCTTTATATCTTTTATGTTCCACATCCTATGAGCTCTTCCTTCAAAATACACCCAGAATCCAAGCACGTATTATCTTCACTGCTACCACCTAAACCAAACTAACACCATCTCTCACCTAGATTACTACAGTAACTATTTCAAATTGACAGTGAGTGATATTTTTAAAATGAATCAGATCTTGTCACTTATCAGCTTGGAACCCTCCACTGATTTCTTACTTTGCTCACGTAATAGCCCAAACTCTTACATTCATCTATAACACTCTACATTATCTGACCCTTAATTAGCCCCCCTTCCCCACCTCTATGCACTCACTCTATGATTTACTAATCTCATAACTGGTCCTTGAATTTGAGGAATGCTCCTATTTCAGGGCATTTGTACCAGCTGTTACTTTGTCTGGATCATCCTTCCCAATTCCTCCAAGATATCCATCTGTATCTATCTATCACCTACTTCAATGTTTTGGTTCAAATGTCATCTTCTCATTGAACCATACCCTGATCACCACATGGAAAATTACAACCTACTCCAACTGTCCCCATCATCCTTGCTCTGCTTTTTTTTCCATAGCACTTCTCTTCTATTGTACCATAAAAACTACTAATTTAAATCTGTCTCTCCCACAACCTGAATGTGAACGTGTTAGGGCTGGGATTTTTGTCCACTTTGTTCACTCTTATATCCTGAGTACCCACAACAGTATAAGACATAATAAAAATAACACATTATAGCTTTTCAACCAACACATAATAAAACTAACCTCTTGGTGAAATGTTATCTGATTGGAGTGATTTGTTGTTTTCCTTTTCTTCACAGACGCAGGTATTCTGCAATACTCTTTTCTCATCTCCTTTGGGAGTGAAAATTTTCTTTTCACTTTTCAGTGGTTCCAACAAACTACTGTTGCCTGACGCTTGTTCTTGCTTGTCACGCAGTACTTTTTCTTTCATTCTTTGAAATATTTTTCCTGGTGATTCATAGTTTGCTTTATTTTTTAATCTATCCTTGTTGGGCTTTATAACACTGATATCAAGAGAGCTGTTAGAGGAGGTAGTCTCTGCTAGCATGGTAGAATGAAATATTTTTTTATTATTAAAATTTGTCATTTCTAGGAAATGAGTTTTTTCATGGTCATTCAATTTTAAAGAGGGGTTCTGATATTTTGCCAAATCTTTTACAGGAGTAAGTGTGCCTGCAGGAATGCTGTCAAAAAAGACTGCATGCATAGGCATATTTCTTCTTTGAGAAGATGTCTCTGAAGACAAATGAATTCCTGGATGTTTCAAAGGTGTTGCAATCATCTTGATAAACAGTAGCAACAAGTTTTCTCTAACAGATAATTCACTTAACCACAATTTTCAGGATAGGAGACTTTCAGCAGGGGCCCAGAGGAACCTGTAGTTCAATGTGAAATCAACCTTTATCATGCTTTGATGCAAAAGAGATTATCTGCTTTCCATAATAATATTATACTAAGGCTTAAGTGGTTCATAACAACACTGGATAATCTATAGCTCACAAATCTAAGGTTTTATATTTTTGTTAAAGACTCATTTTATTATTATTTTAGATGAGCAGTTTGGTCTTTAAATTTACTTCTCTAAAAAAAGCAGCATTCATCAAATCATCTACTTAAGAACACTAAGAATTGAATATTGAGTACCTGGTTTTTAAATATACTTGAACCTCAAGTCCTGGAGATTCCAATCTAATATTTACATCAAAAAGCATTAAATTACATCTGCATATGGTACTATATTAGACTATAAAGGATTAAATTTCACAAACATAACTTTTCCCTTTAGGCACTTAAATTTAAGGCAGCAACTATGATGATATGTCTTAATGAAAGCTGAAAAATTCATTCAATTTTTTAGTTAAATCATCCCCAATCTTGATTTTGTTATGCTGCAGAACATTTTAACTACGAGGTTTTAGTTGAAATACCCTCAAATCAAAAGTAAATTATACTCATTATTTTTAAAAGTTAATTCTATTTACAATTTTTAGAGGCAATCATGTACTTGAGCATACATGGTCTTAGACTTGTTTTAGTTTGCTTTTATAAACACATTTTATTTCCCACACCTAGAAATTAAGATTCTAGGTGATGAACCATACAGTTGCATTCTGTAATACTTAGTAAATAAAACATTTCCACGCAAGGTGCTTGGAACTTACTAATTTCACCTTACTGCATCTCCTATTGCTGAATTTACAACTATTCTAACTAGTCTTTGACATCATATAAACATAAAAAGCCTACCACAGAAAATATTAATGTAGTCATATCAAAGACTCAAATATCTTTATTTAAGTAACTTCTGTGAGAAATATGCAAGATCAAAATTCATATACAAATAGCATTTTATCCAATAGTTTTTAAGAGAAAAAAGAAATAATCCTCAATAACAAGAACTGACAAAGCAGGCTATCTTGGGTCTAGCCCTGTGACATAAAAATCACTGAACTCTTCCACAAAATGTTAATTCAGTAAATACGTACTAATGTATAGATTCATGTGTTTGGCAATGTGTGAGTGATAAGAATCCTGTTCTGGGAGTTAAAATACTTACTAGCAGTTCACTTTAAACTCTCAAATCGAAAGTGAATAAATTGAGCCAAGTGCACCAAAAAAAAAAAAAAAAAAAAAAAAAAAAAAAATGGCAAAGTATGTGCAGGCTTATAAAATCTTAATTCTTCACAACCTAAGGAAATGCTCAACAGAATTACAAAATACAAATAAATTAGTGGAAGTGAAAACAGGACCAATCTGTAGTAGACGTACACATTAGTTTTTTCATCTAAAGGCAGATAACTACGGTCCTACTGAAAGGCTTAAAGAACCAGCATATAACTCCTCTTGCATGTTGCCCAACCTCTTCCCTCCCAATTCAAGCATGTTACAGCATGGAGATGAGCGGTCAAGATTCTGAAAAACCTCAAATTCCACCCCCGTCTCCAAAAAAGATACAGAAGATTCCTAGGAGCCCCTATTTCCCATTATGTTATAAATAGCAACTCAGCAGAAGCCCAAAGAGTTGGCAAGAGTTGTCTGTGGTTTCAGTGTGGCTGGTAAAAGAGAGGATGTAGAGGGAAAAAAATTACCTAGAATTTTCTGACCTATAGCTTTGCAGAACAGATACAGAAGAAAACAAGAAATCACTTGTTAGAGGCCAAACACTCAAAGCCCCATTCTCCTCCTGGTTAAAAAAGAGCAAAACAGAGAAAACAGATTATGATGCTCAGACTCTGATAGAAGAGACACATGTTAGAAGATGCGAATTCAAGTGACAAGCATTCCTAGGTTGAGGAAAACAGTATCCTGAAGGGCAAACATACTTGACCTAACAAAAGATTGCTAGCAAGAAACTGTTAGTTCCTTTTTGGACTAGAGAAGGGAAGGTGAATTCTAAAACGTTATGCTTGTGCTTCACTAAGTGCTTAAAACTATTTGAAAAATCTGATCTTTGTCATTTACTCTGAATGTTGGCAAATGCTGATATACGAAGAAAAATTTGCTATTTATTGAAATAAAGACAAGCATGGAAAATCATTAAATGAAAATCTAGCTATGAGCACTTACAACATATGTAAATATATAAGTAAGGCTAAACAACTGTTATTATCATGGATATGAATGATTCTGAATGTAACTGTTACTCTTTTTCCCAAAATTACATGAAAAGTTTTTCTAGGAATTTACTGTTGTGGTAGCAGCAGTAATTGAATTATTACTATAATGGAAAGAGTCAAAAATCCCAAAGAACACCAACCAAAACTGGGAGGTGGAGGTGGGAAAAATGAAACTAATTTTAAGTTAACTGGCAAATGATAACACTTGGGGTGGGGGGTGGGGGGACCCAGCACTTGACATATAATATAAATAACATTCAAAGAAACCAATGAATCAATTTTAAAAATGATCAACACAGAAAATGGCCAAAAGGCACGAAAGGCAATTACTAAAGAATACAAAAGGCCACCTAGGGAGTCAAATGACACTTCATTTCACTAGTAAGTGAAACTAAACAAACTAAACAGTGGAAGTTCTTATGTTTAGCAGATTGGTAAAGATTAATTTCAAAATAAGGTGTGCATGCTGTTGATCAAGAAATTACACTTCTAAATTTTTTTCTTACAGAAACTACTACATAAGAATTCAAATACATGTAAGTAGTAATAACAGTGGATATTTACTGCATATATGTCAGACACTACATAACCTTACAGCAAATAATCTTAAGAGTTCTGAAGATGAGGAAACTAAAGCACAGGTGCCCAAGGTTCCACTGACGATTCAGAGCAGGACTTAAGTCTGACTGCCAAGCCCAAGTTCTTAAACAAGCACTATACAGGGATATTCACTGACTTACCGGAGATATTATAAATAATCTAGATCTTCACCACTATGGGATGAAATTCTGCTACATCCATACAACCGAATTCTGTATATTCAATAAAAAGATACATGCCTGTATATGTACTGACAAAGAATATAGTTAGGATATATTAAAAAGGAAGCAGAACAGGACGTACAATTGCATTTCAGTAAACACACACGAGCGAAAGCATAGGCGGAAATATCTGGAATCATACCAAATTGTAAACAGGGTTTAACTTTGAAGAGGAGGATGAAGGGCCCTCCATTTTCTAAATAATTTTATTAATATCCACATGTGTTTGCAACCAATGTGAAATTTAACCAGAAAAAAACATGAGCTCGATGGATCAACTGTTTCTATAGCACTGTGGATCTTGGGGTCCCAGGGCAGTGACGCACACAAATCATTCTAACGTAAAGTTTTTCTTGCTAGAAGTGATTTTAGAACAAAGGCCTACAGCGTTCACTTACAAAACGAATCTGAACGAATAGTGGTCTACTCTCTTGATAACTGCAGTAGACACGCAACAAATATGTATACAACGGATGAGTGAGTAGTCGTGAAACTCCTACCAAAGCTAAAAACTTACAGAAGTCTACGCGGACCGAGAATGTTGATGGGCTGGGACCCTCAGCGCCAGAGGCGGACCGATGGCAGGGGGCGAGGGAAGCAGAGCAAGGAGTGCATACCTTGGGTGAAGGGCCTGATAGAACTAGAAGGCGGCAGTCCGGGCTTGGCTTCGCGTGGGGGTGGGCCGGGCGCCCCAGGGCTCGCCCTCTGGCCCAAGTCGGCTCCAGCCCCCCGTAGTCCGGCCACAGGTGACCCTCACTTCCTCAGCGAGGCTCCCTGACACAAGTTTCGGAATTCAAATTTGAAGAGCCCGCCCTCCAGCCAGCCCTGATTGGCGCGCTCCGTAATGGCGTCACCGTGCGACTCAGGAAAACTGGCGGGGGGGAGGGGAGGCGGCCCGCACCGCGTGCGCAGTGCTGTTTCCACAACAGGTGGGTAACCCCAAGCTGCCACGAGAACCGAGAGCACCGCTCTAGTCTTCCGCAGAATTCTTTTCGTTTACAGAGGGCCCGCGCCACCAGCGCGTTCCGCCGCTCCTCCCGTTATGCTCTGCGACAGGAAGGCTTACGTCAGACGTCGGCTGCGTTCTTCGGCGCTACTGCGGTTTTTTAAGTTTGGCCTTTCTCGGCCACTCTTCTACCCTACTGGTTGGTAGCCCGTGGTGTATCGTCGCGTTGCTTACCTGTGTGAAGGAACAGCTTGCCGAGTTCGTTGGAGAGCTTTTAGCCCTCCCTGGCTGCCAGATATTTGAGAACGAGAAAGAACGTTTTGTTCTTGAGAGGATAATATACTGAATGCAAAGTTAAACTTGCCATGGGATGTTTAGTCTGAACTATTTCCCCAAGAAGTGTGATGTTTTTTGAACCTCATCTTATCGAATCCTAAAAGTTTTAATCTTGACGACTCAGGTTGCAAAGCAGTTTGTGACAGTGTCACTTAGACTGAGCCTGCCTTAGATTGGTTGCACCCAGTGATTCTGTACTCTAACCACCGCGGAGTGTTGTGCATCTTCCGCCTCAGCGCCCTGGCAAGAAGCATTCGCTGGCTGGAAGCATCTTACAGGGCGCCTTGTTTCAGTGTTGGGGGCGGAGAAGTAGGAGCCAGAGGAGTAATAAATGTTTTCAGTCCTAAACCCCTTCCAGCTCCGATCCTGCATCTTCTCTCCATTAACTCCGCCCCGCTCCCCAACAAGTCAGAACGGGACAGGAGAGTTTATGCCTCATCCAAAAAAATTCCTTAGCATCCTAGAACCATATATCGCATTTCTCCGTTAACACCGGACTGAAATGGTTATAAAGGATTGATTTTTTAAAGTGACTTTCGCAATCCCCTCGTCTAAATCTTGTAACCACTAAGTCTTGTACACACAATATTCAGAATCCGAAATAATTTAAAACGTGCAAATGAATGCAAGTAAGGAGAAGA